GATCTCTTTCACAACTTGCAAACTAAATGCATTTTTTTGAGTGCAACCTTTACCCTCATTTATGTTAAAATTACATTTTTTAAAAGAAGTAGTTCTAGTTGACCATGGCTGAAACACCCTGCTTATTTGAATATTTGATTCTCACAATTAGAAAAATCCTCAAAATCAGTCTGAGCTTGTGTAACTCTTATCCAGACCTGTCCTAAGTACAACTTTAGTTGTACTTTAGTGTACTTTAGTGACAGTAATTGCTATCTTTGCCTCAGTACTAAACATATGTTCACTCATACTAAACTATGTTCACTAAACATAGCCATGTCGCCTGAGCTTTCATAAACTTTGAGATGGGGCAAAATATAATCTGAAAATCTACTCAATGTATCTTTGAAAAACATAATGCAATCACAAATACACATAAATACTTTCTGGTATATTGTTGCTGTGTTGTTCTTCGAATGATGACTTGGTTTCAGAAAAGAAAATGTCTTACTTGTTCTTTGATTATACGTGAAATCATCTCCAGGCATCCCATTGGCATTCCAGGCATAAGCCTTGATAGTATACAGAGTTCCTGGGTCTAGATTTGTAAATATCAGGGAGGTGTTGGTGGTGTTCTGCTTCAGCACTCTGCCCAAACCATCTGATCTCATGAGTGACACAGAGAAGCCAGCTGCCATAGGCACAGCTTTCCAGCTCACTGCAATGGAGTCACAGCTCGGAGAACGAACAGACAGGACCGGAGCAGCCAGGACTGTTGAGAAAAAACAAAATTATGCTTTTGGTTTTTCAGCAGGACAGCTTGAAAAGGCCAAATTTAAAATGAATGTACAGAAAAAAACAACCACTAACCCTGAGAGACAAATTCAGCGACAACAAAACCAGAAAAAATAAATTAATGCAAGATCAACAGAACAAATTTGGAAAGTGATTTGGTGCATCAATTATTGTATTGCATGTTTTGTGAAATGAACAAAAGTTATACAGAAAGTGGGAAGGGCTGCATGTGTTGAAGAATGAAGATCACCAAGATATTGCATTTCCTGTCCTCTAAGTTTCACATTGTCTTCCTATCTTATACTTTTGGTTGTTTCTTTATTTCTTCTATTCCTTCAAGTTATGCCTTTTGTTAAAGTAAAATACATATATTCATACAAATTCTAGTGAAACTCCCAGCTGAACTTTTAACTTACTGTACCATCATAAAGTAAACCATTAATTCAGACTTTTGTCCTGGTCATTAAATCAGATGGCTGAATTCTAGTCTTCAAAAAACTGAAAGAAGAATGTGATCAGTACAATTTGAAAAAAGATTATAATAATTCAGGACTGGTGCATGCATGAAGGCTTTATGTTATAATAACATTCCAGAATTTGACATAAGATTTTGAAAGCCCACCTGTTTTTACTTTTCTGAAAGGTGAAGGCTGGCTTTTTCCTCCAGAACTGATAGATCTGACAGTGATTCGGTACAAGGTGGCAGGCTTCAGTCCCGTCACTGTGCCTGGAGAATTTTTCACTATAGCTTCAACAAAGGAATCTCCATCTTGTGCAGTCAGCATGTAATTAGTAGCCCCAGGTACTGCTCTCCATTCCACTGTGATACTGTTGCTAAGTTTTGAATAAGCTTGGTCAATAACAGGTATATCTGGAGCTAAAATGGAAATAATGAGAGACGTACTGAAGTGGGAAAACACAGTCCTGTGGAATATTTCACAAAGACAAAAATGTAGGAAAAATAATCTACACTTTCTATGAATGACTAAAATTTAAAATGGACTTTCAGTGAACATTAACAAAATACAGAGTCTTGTGATATTCTAGACCAAATTTCATCTTTCCATAAAAATACTCTAATACTCTGAAATCACTATTGTAAGACCATTCTTTAACCTAGGTTTCACTGAGAGGGTCTCCTTCAGAGCAAATTAACTCTATTACTAACTAAAGTGATACACAAAGCAATGTATACAAAGAAGAAGTATATGTTTATACAAAGCACTCTGAAATAGGACACAGAACCATAGGCATTTCTATATTAAAGCAACATACAATAATCTAGTCTGGAAGGGATCACAGGAACTCACCTAACCCCCTGCTCAGAGGGCAATATTTGATTTGCCATGTTATTGCTATTCAATAACATGACAAATCAAATATTGTAACAATGCTTTGGTGTTATGCTCTACCATTCAAAAAGAGCTCGTGTGTACTGCAGACACAAAACTAACTACACCAGGGTATTTCTTAACCACGAGTAATTTATGTTCAGAAATCAGGATTTTCACACTAAAATCAGCATTTATAAAGCAATTACACATGTTGCAAGGCTGCAAAACACTCACTAGAAGAGAAAAAAGATAAAATGAAGGTACATCCTAGATAAAATTAAGAAAAGGAATGTAGAGGTATTTGGGATGAAGTAGGTACCTTGTGGCAAACTCGTTCATAGGAAGGCAGCTCATGGGGGATTTGGGAGACCTGAGCAAGTTTTATACACAGCTGCTCAGCTAAGTGCTAACATCTATATGCTGCTATTTTTTTTTTTTTTTAATTTTTTTTTCTGTCCTGGACTGTTAGCAAGACTTACACCTGGGTGAGGATTTCCTGCACAGAAATTTTTATGAATTGTTATGAAAGACAATATTATAGAACAAACTAAAAAAAAAAAATTACAGTGCAGTATTTTGCTCCACAACTGTGAAAGACCCATCTGCAAATGCTCCATAGGCATGGTCAGACAGAATATCTGGGACCATTTCTACAAATGGGGCAAAAGAGGGTGTCTGACTGTAACTGATAAGAACGTGCTTGGGACTGAGAGCAGATGTTAATTGTTAGTTGAGCAGCTGTGTATTAAATTCCAAAACCTTGGAAATACTTGTCCATAGGAGATTGTGCTTCTTCTGGTGTGGTTTTTAATTTGGTATTTTTTTTTGTTTGTTTGTTTGGTTGGTTGTTTGGTTGGTTTTTTTGAGGGAGTGTGATGGAGTTTTCTTTTAATGTTTCTTTAGAGTTTTTTTGTTTTTTTAATTATCAAAATATACAATGATTGGTTGTAAATATGGGACAGTGTGAATTCCATTTGTACCACAGCTATATAATGAATAGCAGAATTTGTTCATCTGAGTGTTCTCCCTGATTCACACTAGTATCAAGGTGCAAGTTTGAATATTTGCATGAGTGTCCAACAGAATTGTGACTCTTAAAAATGAGATTTAAAATTTATAAAGACATCGATGTAATTTTATAAGCCTGAATCAAACATGAAAACATTTTTTGTTTGCAAAGCTGCTAGAACTTACAGAATATTTTATTAAAAAGCACAAATGGGTATTCTCTTCAAACCCATTCAAAAATAGGCAGGAAAAACCAAATAACCATTTTGAGTATTTACCTGTGTTTGCTGAAAATATCTGAAAAGGAAGATATAACAAAATTAGAAATACAGTGTGACATATTTTATTTTGAAAATTAAAAATCTAAGAATGTTAGTAGCAATAACCTAAAATATTTTGTTTATTACACATTTTACATTTTGTACATTTTACATTTTGTACATTACACATTTTACTGATATTATATATTTCCTCAGATTCTTTAAGCATGGAAAGAATACACAACCAATGAGATTTGGTACAGGTATGCAGATTGTACTGCTTCTGCATTTCCCCCTCTGAACCTGCCTATTAATCCCGTTTGCAGTTGTTGACACACTTGTAAAGTATTTTTCAGTCATATGTAAACAGTGCAACACTGTGATAGTATCGGAATACAAATGTGGAAGCGGATGTCTGATAGTGCTCCACCCTAACTTTTAGTTTACTTTCCCGAAGAATACAGCATCATCGCTCAAATAGCTTTACAGCAGGTAAGTCGCACTCACCATTTCCAGGCAGCCGAGAAGCACTCCAGCAAAGGCTAACGATTTACTTTTCGCACCGTGCATCCTGTCAGAGCTTGGTTCCAGCCTCACACGGGGCGAGCGGCGGCCGATGCCAGCGCTGTTCCCCCGCGGTGCTGTCACTGCAGGCTGGCACCCCCCGGGGCACAGAAGCTGGCGCTGGACCGGCCGCTCCTCCCTGCGGGATCACAGCTGGACAGCGGCCACCAAAGCCGGTGACACCACCAAAGCCCGGTGACACCCCCAAGCCCGGTGACACCACCAAACACGGTGACACCGGGCCACCACAGCATCTGCGTGCGGCCGCATGGCTGGCGGCGGTCTCTTCCCTCCTGTTACAGGGTGCAGATTCTGTATGGTTTATACAAGACTCACAAAATAATTAAGCTAAAGGAAATTTGGTCTTTGGTCTATCGCATTTTTGCCCGCTCACAAGGATCTTATTTTCCGTCGGGAATGATGCCCACATTGTACTCCTCTTTGAGAGGCACACCGCCACACAGACTGGGAACCAACTATTCTTCTTCATACCTGGCGCTGTGGAAAGAATTTTTCCTCGCATTCCTTCGTATTTGTGGCCGGTGTTGGTTCCCCTTTGAGAACACAACTTTATATCTTCAAACTGTAACTTCTGAGAGACGATTATAGGCGTCAACAGCCGCTATCGTTCTATGACCCGACAGTGTTTTCCTTGGTGGTTTACACGCACGTCCAGCGGGAACCTGGGGGCCGTTTCCGTGAGGGAGCCCCGGTTTGCCCCCGAGAGGACCCGGGAACAGGGCAGGTTTCGGGAGTCCCTCCGGCCAGGCGGGCTCCAGCTCCCTCTGCTCCCCGCAGCTCGCCAGGGCCGCCTCGGCGGTGGGAGCGGCTCCCGCCGTCCCGGGCTCACCTGAGCAGGAAGCTCCTTCCTCAGGGGCGAGCCCTCGTCACCGGGCGCTTCCCCAGCGGGAATTTCGGACCCCATGGTGGCAGGGGAAGAGAGCCCGGCTCCCGGAGGGGCGGGCCGGGCTCCTGAGGGGCTGACCCCGGCCGGCAGGAGCCGCCCCGCCCGGGATCGGGCTGCGCCCTCCGCCGCCGCCCTTGAAGAGGGAGTGGAAGGCAGTGCTGCCAGGCGGGGCTGGCAGCAAGATGGCGCCGGCGGTGCGGGGGCTGAAGAGCTTCGTGTGGCAGAGTGAGTGACTGTGGGGCTCCTTCCCCGGCCCCGCGGCCAGAGCGCTCTGGGGCCGTTCGGTGGGCGCGGGCCGGCCGGGAACCTCCGCCGCTGAGGCGCTGGGTCCGCGTAGCTCCGTGTATGGGGTCGGGGGTGCCCGCCGAGCGTGTCGGAGCTGAGGCGGCCGAGCGGGGTTGGGGTCGGGCTCGGGCTCGGGCCCGGTGGCTCTGTGGGCAGCCGGTGACCGGCGGGGGCTGTGGGTGGCGGCTGCTGCCGGCTGTTCCAGGTGTGACTCGGCGCGCTGCTGGGAGGCGGCTGCCCCGGCTTGCGGCGGTGCCGCGGGTGTCCGCAGTGACAGCGCTGCAAAGAGACGCTTGTGCCTTTTCCGAGATAAGGGTAAGCTCTGCAGGCTACAGCCCGCCGGACGGGCTCTTGCAGCGCCTAATCCCAAGTCAGCTCTTCAGGCACTTCTCTGTAACCTCCGAACTGCTACTTTTGGAGAGTGCTCCGACCCCAGAAGGGGCTCTGCGCTCTCTCTCTCTTTGTGTTCGGCTTCAATTTTTGGTAGAAAAAGTTGAAGGTGTTCTCTGGTAGGCTTACAAGTGAACTGCAGATTTTTATCTCCGTGTTTTGGAGCCGGTTCTGCTGGTGTTTGTTACAGAAAATGAAGTCGTAACTGCTCCTTTCCTTGCCGGAGTAGAAAGGCTGATAGTATTGCAAGTAGTGAGAGACCTTTGGGGAAAAGGCACAGGCAGCCACCTCATCCCGAGCTTAATTGTACTGAGCTTGTGACTCCGTGAGCTGCTCAGCCAGCCCGGCGACTGCCGCTGAAGTGGGAAGGTCCTGCTGCCGCCTTGTTTTCGTTTTCCTCCTCTGCTTCCACCTGAAGGCTGTTCGTTTGTGTCACTAGAAGTGAAAAGCAGACTGTCTCTCTGGAGTTCACTCCTCGTTGCTGGCCCCTGTACCCTGCTTGTACGAATTTGATACCTTTGTTTAAAACTTAACCCTTAGAAATCCCCACTTTTGCTGCTCTGCTTATCCTGCTGTCTTGTTCTTCGTGCCGATGACTGTAAGGCCAATGTTTTGTCCTGAGATATTTTATAAAAGACTTGGACCTTAAAAGGGAGTAATTTGATCAAACCATAAGTGTGCCATTAAGGGCCATAAAGACGTTTGAAAATTGTGTTGCCAGTGTGAGGAACAAAGATTAGAGTGACAGTAAAGCAGTGTGAATAATAAAATATTTATGTTACAAGCTTAGTTAAGAGGAACTTCTGAAATGAATGCTTTGTTAGTCATCTAGTTTCTGTTGTCTTTCCAAAATTACAACAACAATGAAAATTGATGAACTAAGTTTTAGACATTGTCTGGCACTTTTTAAATGGGTAATTGAAGGTCATAAACTGCTGCTTCCTAATGTTTCAGCAAAACATTAGGGGGTTTTTATTAAAGCTGATTTGTCTGAAAATAGTGACGCTGATGCTTTATGTAGCAGCTTGTATCCATGTGTATCTTGTTCCTGCTCTGTAAATAGGATAGAAATTACACATGTGGTGTGTGGAATTGAAGCAGAAGTGTGTGGAAAAGTTAATTGACACAAGTTTGTCCTCAGTTAAGTTCACAGTTGTGAGGACAGAGAATGCTACCTGTATTTAGGAGACAGTAGTTCCCATGGATAAAATTCTGAAATACAGAGAGCTGTTGTACATAGTTAATCTCTAAATCAAGTCCTTTCCTTAAGGAATTCTGTCTTTTCATTTCCTTTTTCTCAACTTTAAATTGTTATGTAGACTTGTATAAGGAGTTCTAGCCTAGCCATAGATAGCTATAATAATTTTTGTAAGTGATTCACCATTTTAGCAATTCTGTTTTTTACAGCGCTTGCTTAGCAGTCCTTTCTTCAGGAAGTGTGTTGTAAACGGGTCATTAATTTTGCCAAGGTGTGGTTTGCTGCTTTTTTTTTTCCACGAAGGAATTTGGCAGCCTGCTATTCTGTCAGTGTTGTGTATAGTTCTTTCCTAGATTGTGAAGTAAAGGTAGAAGAAAAAAAGCCTTTGTCAACTAATTAAATGTATTCAGAGAAGACAAAATCTGAAAAGGTAGTTAGGGTGTATGGTTGGTATAAAATCTGTGAGAAGAAAATGAAAGCCTGGGCAAAAATGGAGCACTTACCTGGGTTTGGTTTTTGTGTGTCCAGAGTGCTTGCAGGAGAAAAATGATTTTGAGAGCCTGTAAACCAATGTAGGTCAATTATTTGGGTGAAGCAGCTGCAGGTTGAGGGCAAAATCAATAACAGTTGGAATAGTGCAGGGGCGTTTTCATTTTATTGTGTGAGAAAACTGACTTCTATGTTTTAATAGCAGAAATGAGGTTCAAGACAACTGAATTATCCATTTATATGTTCTGGTGTCTTTTATAGGCAAATATTGTAGAAAAATATAATGTTTGAGATTTTGGACAAGGTTGTTGGGCACTCTGTTTATTATAAGGAATTCTATGTAATGCTAAAGACTAACTGGCAAGAGTGTTGTCAGAAAATATGAATGTTAATAAAATTTTCATGTGGTGAAAAACTTGTTATTACATCTGTGTACAGTCCTAGAAACAGGCAGGGTCAGTTTGTGGTGAGGAATTCTGTGCAGATATTTATCAGTATGGGGTTTTTAAAAAAAATTTCTTTTTAGGGCTCTGTACATATGAGTCTAAATGGGTGAATTATTTTTTTCTTTCTTAGTAACAATTTGATTCCTCTAACTGGTAAACTGTTTCTTCTTACAGAGCTGAAATCAGCAGTATTTGATGACTTCACCAAAGAGGAAGAATGGAAGGTACAATTTTCTTAACACTTTTATAAGAATTCTGTCATCACTTGCACAAGAAATCTGTATTGCTGAGTAGAGAGCAAATACATAAAATGCATGTCTGGTGTTTTCACTCAAGATTGTTTTCTGCCCAAGTAATAGACTTTACTTTTGGGAACTCAGATCTCTGTATAATACAAATTGAAAAATCTAGAGGCTACTACAGGAAGAACAAATGGCTAGTAGTCTCTTTTTTTTTTAAATTAGGTGTGATGAAAAATTAGAAACTGTTTTTGTTTATCTTCATTTTCCTTTTGAAATACTTGTACTTTATTAATTTCAGTAATTACACTGTACTGCAGTACATGTGTAGCAGGATTCAGCAGTATGATACCTGTAGAACTGCTTGAGCTATCAAACAGTTTTAAAATAAATACAGGTATATTTGAGTAGGCCATGGGGTAAATCAGCAGGAATTCAAAAGACTTGTGTCCAAGGAAACTTTCAAAGGACTTTCTAGTATGAGTAGGGGGAACAAAGCTCATGTTTAAGATTGAGCTTGTCTTTGGAAATCCTGTACATTAAGAGCTGCTTTCTGAAATTAATTTCCCCCTGCAATGTTGGTGTATGCGATGAAAAAATAGAGTAATAAAATAATTTTAGCTTCAAACTTCTATGGGAAGTTGTTGAGGAAATGACATGGATTTAATATAGCTGATTCATGTATCTAAATACTTGTGTGTGTTTTTCTTAAAATATGTTTAGGTAATGCTCTTAGATGATTACACTACTAAATTACTGTCACTGTGCTGCAAAATGACTGATCTGCTGGCAGAGGGTGTCACAGGTAAGCATAATTCTTATGATACACATTCTTATTGATACATTGATACAATTCTTATTGATACATAATTCTTATTTCAGCATAACATGATTATTCTGAAAATATAATAGAGTTGTATCAATTCTGCTTTTTGTTGTGTGTTTTAACTCATAAGTGCTACTTATCGCTTGTGAGAAACTTTTGGTGAACATGTATCCTTTTCATCAAGAAGAAACCTTTTCTTTTTAGTGAGCACACTGCTGAAAGGAACCTGTCTTTCCACATGCAGATGTCTGACATTACTTATCTTCCTTGTTCCTCCCCCACAAAATTTCTGAGCCACAAGAATATCTCTGCATTCTCAAGCTAGTGTATTGTAAAACTATACAGTAATGACTTTATTAAACAGAGAAAAACAAGAGATGAGTGAAGCTGATTTGCTGAAAAATGTCTTAATTTGTGCCTGCAGTTATGTTGAAACAGAGTAATTGCCCAGGACACAGGCAAACAAAGGACAGAAGAGGCTGCAGTCCAAGATGATGCCCTGCATGTTTTCTCTGTCCCTCTCCTTCACTGTGCTGGGCAAAGAGCTCTCTTGCCAAGAGTTCCTGCTGGGCCCCATAGCTGGAGCATGTTTGCATTGCCATTCTGTTGTACAAGTGTAGAGCACCTAGGAAGGATTTAGTCCTACAACTTCAGTTGTCACTAGCCTGAGAGTTGGGAAAGACTTGTAGTAACCTTCTGAATATAAAATAACAAAGAAATAAATCAAGACTCTTGGCAGAAGGTACATCCTTATCTCTAATATTGTGGACAACTTGATTGCAGTTAATATAGAGTTGATAAAAATGAAGTAAAATATGTGCAATGTTTTCCTTAAAGATGCATAGTGTTCCTAATTATAAATATGCAATATTTCTTACTTTACAGTGGTGGAGAATGTATATAAAACCCGTGAGCCTGTCCCACACATGAAGGCAATATATTTAATAACTCCCACCAAAAAGGTTAGTATTTTAAAGTGTTGCAAGATCTTTCAGACTGCAAAAACCTTTCTTTAAAAATGTTTATTTACTCTGTACAGCTCTGCAGTACTTTACCTCTGCATTTTCTGTGATACTCCTCTGTGTGATGCCTGATTTCCCAAGATGAAAGACAATCTAGGCCCACCATGGAATATGTTGCAAACGTGCCCCTTGTGGTCAGCGTAGGCACTGTATCATTGCTTAGCAATTGTAACCTCACTGAAAGACATGTTGTATCACATAATGATTCAATGCATTGAAAAATAGAATTCAAAGTAATGGCTCTAATAAGAGATTGCTGTTACTTCCTAAAAATTCTTGAGACATTAAATCTCAGCACTGTTACAGCTGGAAAATGATGCAAATGCTGTGATGTATGTGCTTCCTGAAATGAACCTGGTGCATGACTGACCATCTGTAATTGCTTGTTATTCTTCATCTGGAATTAAAAATCTTAAACTTCAGTATTTTCTTATATGTTGAAATGTAGTATTCCTAAGTGGGACTTGGTAATAGAGCAGGAGGAGAGGAGGGAGAAGCTTTGTCTGGTATGTGTAGAAAGGCAAAACACTGGCATGATGTTTTTTATTTCCTTATTTTCCTTGCCCCCATAAGTCTGTAGATGGACTGATTGATGACTTCATCAATAAATCATCCAGCAGATACAAAGCAGCATACGTGTATTTCACTGACTGTAAGTAAGCTCTGGGGTTGTAGTTTGGTAACTTTATATGGGTAACTAAGTAAACTGCTCACTTCTCTTGTCTGTAGCTGAGTAAATGAAAAATTTGGGCCCTGTTTCTTGCTAGAAGGTTTGAGACTCAAGTCATTAAGCATATATCTGGGTTGCCAGGCTATAGTCCCCATGCTATGTGGCAATAGTAATTTCTTTCATAGTTACCAAACAGTCTTGATTGTTCTCCACCTCTGCTTTTAATTTAGGTAATGTAGTTTTATTTTTAAGTATTCCAGTCTTCTCCTGTGTTGGAGTGTGGAGGAAGACAATTCAAGTCACACTGTGTATCTCTACATAAACAAGAGTACCAAAAACATAACTGCATGAGAATTTTGTGCAAGAGCTGTGTCAGTAATTGGTTGCTTCAGGTAGTTCCTTCAGAGCTGTGAGCCAGCTTTTCCCCTTCCCTGAAAGAAGGGCCCTACTTAGCCCTTGCATGCATGACATGAATTGTGCAGCAGAGACAATTACTGGGAGCAGGGTTCATGTGGTTGCACATGGCCCTGCAGTCAGTCAGCGGGACTAAAATGGCTCTGAAGAGGGGAAAACAAAAAACCCAAATGTGCTGCTGGAGGCAGAGACTGAGACATGCCTCTTTGTGGACTGTGTATCTGCTACTGGATATTCTCAAAGCAGTTGAGAATAATCGCTATCCAAATTCTTGGTTTCTTGTTTAATTTCATGCTGAAGCAGCAGTTACTATTCTGAGAAAGTACTGCTGTCTTGCTGAATGCTCCTTGGTTGCAGGTGGGCAAGCTTTCAGTCTGAGTACTTGCCAAAACTTTTCCTGTAGAGAGGAATAGCTCCTGACTTAGAGAAATAACTGTCACTTCCAAATTTGTGTAGTATTCATATGTCATCTATGCATTCCTTAAATTCAATTTCTAGACTGGGATGCAATGTAGCCTGGAAGTATGGTGGAGCACCTTAGAGATCTATAATTAAATTCCATATCTGTGTTTTGGTCTTAGGTATGCACACATGAATTATTTTTGTAGCTTGGAAAATGCTTTTTTCTCTCCTACATGACAAGAACCCTTTACTTTCTAGCAGACTGCTAATGAGTGTTCAACAACATTTTACTTGCAAAAAGCCAGTATAAATTGAGCAGTGGAGCTTCTCAGAAAAGATCTCATAAACAAAATATTGGTTATATAATCTATTTCTCTTTAGGAAGAGGAGGCAATTTTTTTTTAGTGTTTTATGGTTAATTGGGTCTTAATTTAGAGTTGTCTGCTCTGAATGCTGTATAAGTGAGCTGACAGCTGGAATAGAACAAATTCTTTGTATTTAGAGTCTCTTTTTTTCCCCCTAGTTTGTCCCGACAGCCTCTTCAATAAAATTAAGGCTTCATGTGCCAAATCAATAAAGAAATGCAAGGAGATCAACATTTCATTCTTCCCTTATGAATCTCAGGTAAGTTTAATTCTTAACCTTAACAGTAGTCTGAAGGATTATTCTCAAGTGGTGCTGACCTTTTAGAAGACAATGAAATAGAGTGTAGCTTTTGATTGACAAACTATAAGTGAGATATTTCCATTTGGGCACATTTCCAGTGCTTGCTTATGCTTTTCAGATGAAAACAAATGCTCTTGTACTCAAAGTTTTACTCTTTGCAAGACTTGGTGTCAGTTGCAATGGGGAGGTTAAAGGAAGAATCTGTTCCCTAAGAGCAGGCAAGTATTCTGGCTGGTTTTTGGTAAGAGTTTGTTACTGCTGATACTGAGATTTTACTTTGATAGGTTGGTGCATAGGAGTAAAGTAGGACTTGGTGAAAGTCAGGAAAGGAGAACAAATGGACTAAGAGAACTGAAGGAGAGTGGAACAAAAACTATTACCACTTGACAGTCTTTTCAGTGAGAGGAGAGTGTGGAAATTCTGTATTCTCAATTAAAGATCCATACTACCAGTAGATAGGAATGGGTGTTTTCCATGTGCAGCCACACAGTGGGTGTTGTGTTGAAAAGTAATTTGCTGCTCATGCCCTTCATCAGACACAGAGGGCACACTGATGCTCACTAAGACAGTGAAGCCTCCGAGGTCTGGGAGCTGGAGAAATAACCAGAACTAACCACAAATGTTTCCCATGTCAAATGTTATCAACCAATCAAGGGGACAGCTCTGACGTGTACCAAGTAGCAGGTGGATATAGGAGGGATTGCTGCTAGCCCTGTCTCACTGGAGTGCAGTGTCCTGGTTTGAGGACACATTCCTTTTCATTATAAAGGGTTCTTTATTATTTTGATTGAGAATCCATCAGGGGATAATGAGCATGGTGCCCTGTTTGATTGCTTTCCAGTGAGGTTGATGTTGACAAGTTTTGTTTCAAGCTGGTTTTGGGAGCCCTGCCAAAGCTGCTTTTCAGTATCAAATAAAGCCTATGAAAATGTTGTGGTCCTGGTTCTCTAGAGGACTCACTGTGAAAGCAGAAATTAAGACTACTTTTCTGTAGTTGAAAATAAGCAGCACTCTTCTTGTTTTTACTGGAGTTTTGTGTTCTCAGTATCTGGGGTTGTGAGAACCTTTTCAGTCCTTAGCAGAGGAACAATGTTAATTGGTGTGCCTGCTTCCTGGGATGCTAGGAGTAAATGATCAGGCTGAGCTCTGGGCAAAGTCCAGCTGATTATCTACTCCAGTGAAGCAAACACCTTTATCTAGATGGCTCTGTAGTTACAGAGTCCATCTGAAGCTGGAGGAAATCCATTTACTGACAATGGGATTGTACCCATGTTTGCATTCCACTTACAAAACTGTTGAAAAAGCCTTTCATCTCTGTAGTACTAAGCTGCTTTAATTGAGATTTAATGCATTTAAAGAATTCAGCTATTCAAGGTAAATTCTTCATGTTAAAAGCAGATACAATATGTAGATTTTTATTTTAAACCAATTTAACCTTGATGCTTTCTATGTTCATTCTGCTATTGCATTGTGTGGCTCTGTACAAGGCACTGACAGATGTTTAGTTCCTTCCTTCCATCTGTCCTTCCTTTCATAATTTGAAAAATAGAGTAATTTACATGGGAGAGTAATAGGGGAAAAAGTCTGAGAACAAGAAGATGAGCTCAGCAGGGAAAGAGGAATGAAGTGTGGGTTTGTTTGGGTTTTTTCTTAAGTGTCCTATATATGACTTTTTCTTGCAGTTTTAAATTATTAGCAAACTTTTTACCAGGTGTTTTGGCAATCTGCAAGTTAGGCTCTTTTATTTTGCTTGTGCTTTATGCAGGTGTTTACTCTCAACATCCCAGATGCCTTCTACCGCTGCTACAGTCCCACTCTGGAAAAGACAAAGGAGAAAGATGCTGTACTGCAAGTCATGGCTGAACAAATTGTTACCTTGTGTGCCACACTAGATGAGAATCCAGGAGTCCGATATAAAAGGTGGGACAAAATTGTGTTTGATAGTAATTGTGTTCACTTCCAGGACCCACCACAATATTTGGTCATAGCTCGAGGCTGCAGCATAGTTTTTTGGGGTTTTTTTTTCCCCCCTTGTGGTTGTGGATTAATTGTTTTTAATCCACAAGTCTGAAATATGCAATGATAGGAATTTGTAACGTGTAGGTAGAGCAGTGTTTTTTCTGTGTAATGCATGTAACAGCTCTTACTATACCCTGTCTAGTTCTGAATGCTTTGTTTCATGTCTGGTCAGTGGGGTGACACTGATATGCTGCATTCTTGTATGCCACATGGATAATCCTGTAACAGAACTGCTGCTGTTCAGCCAATTGCAGCTCTGCTTGGCACCAGGGAATTCAGAAATTGCTGTGGCACATGAGATCAGGATTTCTTGTAGTACAGATATTGAGAAGAATGCCTCTTTTGAACTTTGAAAGGGATTTACTGTCTTTGAAGTCACAGTGGGCTTCTGAAATTGTATTCAAGGACTGCATTCTGTGGTGTAATGTGAAGTAGTGTCTTATTCTCTGCAAAGGTAACAACCAGTTGCTTGACTGTTTTTTTTTTTTTCCCCTCTTATTTCTCTTTTTCTTGTTTTTCTTTCTTGTTTGCCACATCTGAGTGAAACTTTATGTGCTGGACCATGTTCCAGCTAATGCCAGCCTTTTGGCTGAAGCTGTTTCTGCTGTGTAAAATACCTGGAGCATTCAAAGATAAAATCATAATGTAAAACTGGAGACATATTGGAAATACTGAGAATGGAGTTTGGAAACTCAGGAAAGCAGAGCATCAATCCTAGGGAGTTTTCTGTTTTAAAGGTAGCATTTTAGTGTTCTGATGAAGAAATGTAAGTTATTTTTGCATGCTTCCTTTTTTCCCAGTGGACCATCTGATAGAGCCAGCAAACTTGCACAGCTTGTTGAAAAAAGTCTTGAAAACTACTACAGAACAGATGAGAGAAGCCAAATAAAGGTAGACAGTGGACTAAAATGTTTGATTTCTTTTTTAAACTTTTTTTGTATGTCTGGCGAAAAGAAATCTTTGAAATATTCTTCAACAATTAAGTTCTACAAATATAGATATTATTTAATAATAAAGGCAGCTTGTTGCCATTTAGTTGTTTTCATGTATGAAAGCCATGTAGAGGTAATACTGTTGGGGTAAAGCTGTATTTGTGTGATCAAACTGATTTTATTTGAAAAATTGGCCCTTTGATAATGCAGAGGGATGCTACAAACCTGAAGACCAGTGGATAAATGTTGTTTTAATATCACCTTCCATAAGGCCATGGAAGATGTAGAAGGGGTTTACTCCAGAATTGAAATGTTTCCCCTGAAGGGACTTACTGTCTACAAAAATACAGCTGTTCACATAAATATTGGTTTCTGATTTGTAATCAGGCCTGATTAGGGCAGCTGCTTAAACACAAAACCATGGGGTAAACCATTCTGATTTTGACTTTGCACTTTGCTACAGAAATAAATGTTCCTGTTGCTACTGCCACTTCACTAAATCCCCAAATGAAACTTTCAGTTGAATGCTTGAAGGTGTTTTCCTGTATTTCACCACTATCTGATCTGCAATACAAACAATGAAGTTATCTATTAAATCTCTGGGCAGCATTTTTGGGGTTTTGTTTGTTTTTCTTTTACCTTTTTTGTTCACTAGACTAATAAAATTCATATTTCTGAGTGTATTGCAGTGGGCTAAGAGCATTGCCTTAAACTTAGTATTTAAAACCATGGTATAGAATTCAAATGTTCAAGCAAACACTTGGACTGTAGTGCAGTGCTTTTCAGTTATTTTTCTAAAAATACCTGCAGTGCTGTGACTTAATGCAAATAGATTTAACATGCATTAACTTTCTCCTGTATGTCTTAACTTTGTGTTTGTTTGATGGCTTTCTAGGCTAAAACCCACTCCCAACTAATAATAATTGATCGTGGTTTTGACCCAGTATCAACTGTACTCCATGAGCTCACCTTCCAGGCAATGGCATATGATCTGCTACCCATTGAAAATGATACTTACAAGCAAGTACTTAAAAAAAAAAAAAAACCTAAATAGTTTATTCTTGATTATAAAATCCCTGAAATTGTTTAGCTCAATTGCACCATGGCAATATTAGCTGCGTATATCGCATAATGGTTGCTTCATTTATTGTTAGTCTTTCCTCCTGTATTTGTAACTTCATCATTTTCTTAACTTCCTCTCTTAGCTGATGTTAGGTAGGATCTAGTTGGCATTTTTGTTAAGTTTTGAGTCCACCAAATTGCATTTTTTAAGAACTAAGAACCTTGCACTACTCTTGAAGTAAAGCCTTGGGAGTGCACATTGAGATTCTCTAGATTTTCTTTCATATTCTCCATTTTTTTTGGCATAACAAGATCAGCAGTACAACTAACTGAATGATGAGAAAAAGCTAGGGTCTTTCTCAGGTATGCTCACTTTTATAGCTCAGCTCCAATAATTTAATTTCTGTAGTTGTTGAAATGTTTTATTGTAAATACACATTTAAATCAGTCATGTTCAGTTTAAAAGCACTGTTGGAGAGGTGTAATGTTAATTTGCATAAGTTATGTGCTTTGCTGTCTGATTGTTCTGACAGCAATGGTTTTGGTAGGACTTTGCTTTCTGATGATCTACTTCAGCAAGAGAGACCTGATGGCCTCATTGTATAGCCAATCAAAGAGGAATGTGTATCTTTAGTCAGAAGGACTGAGTGAAGATTTTAATAGAAAGTGTAGACTCTGAGTCTGGGTTTGATTGCTGGGTATGAGAATGTAGCAGAATATTTTCTAGGTAGTCACCATCTGACTTACATCATTAATCTTGGAATTTTTTTCATTCTTTTGCTTTCTGGCAATCTGCACTGTGTGAGTTTCTATAAATGTGAAAATATTATGTGGCATGATTGTGGTCTTGTTTTAGGTTTACTGCTGCTTATAGTCATGTAATAGCTGCTCTGTAATGCCATGCAACAGTTGCTTTTATCTGTGAAGTAGTTTGTCCTGCTTAGCATTGTGTTGGTGAATGGAACTTAATTTTCCTTTAGTTATAAAGTCTTATAATACAGAAAGAAAGCTGCGCTTGGAAATTGCAGTGTGTATTATTTTGTGCCATTTGCACTTGAAACCAAAACTGAAGAGAAATTGAGGTGCATGTAAATGTGTGTTTACAACTCCAGTCACTGTTTGTTTAAAAGAATGTCCAGAAGCTCTTGCCCCAAAGAATCATTCTAAAATTTATCTGCTGTTTCTGTGTTAAAATATGTAATCTGTAAAATCCTGTAAATTATATTTTCTCAGGCACTGGCTTGGCTTAGAAATTAAAATTTATGTCAATTACTGCTGTTACCATTTATGTTGATTAAACTGTTACAAATAACAGTGTAATAAGTGATGAGAACTGGGGGAAACCCAAATCCCAAATAACTGTCTGAATTTTCTCCTGGAAGATACAAAACAGAAGGCTCTGGTGGGAAGGAAAAGGAGGCGATTTTGGAGGAAGATGATGACCTGTGGGTGAAGATGCGGCACAAGCATATTGCAGATGTGATCGAGTATGTGCATAAATAACAAAGCCAGCTCTTGGGTTCTGTGACAGGGAGGGTGTCAGAGCTGTTCAGTGGGAATAAGGCAGTAATGAACATGGTCTGCAAGACAGACTGGATTCAGTTAAGTAATCAATGCCAGGAAGAAATTGTGCTTTAAAAATACAGTATGTACCCAGGTATGCAGTTATACTAATGCTACTTGCAGTTCTTGAGGTAAATGGAAATCAAGTCATTTCCTGGCAAGTGTTTTCAAATATTTTAAATCTGAAGGGATTATTTTGCATGCAGTGCTGCCAAGCTGCTGCATTAAATGATATTATGAAGATATTGCAAACAGAATGTTTAATATTTCCTTTGTAAAAAAGCACTCATTTCTCTGAAGCCAGACCTGTAGTTCAGATTTTACTTTCATTCAAAAGTTCTTGTTGCACAGTTCTTTTAAGATTTCAAGAAAAAATGTAAGCACTCATGTGCTGTTGCCTTTCATTATTTTCCTCTTTTCTTCAGGGAAATACCAAAACTTTTGAAAGACGCTTCATCAAAAACAAAAGCAACAGAAGGAAAAGTAAGTTGTTTAAGTTGAGATATTGTTTTTCCTGGTAATTTAGTTATTTTCAGCTGATCATATCCATGTAACTGATGGATCTACTAGATAAAATAAGACTTTTCTCAATTGGAATTTTCAGGGGTTGTGGGGGAAGCAGGCTGCAATGGGAAGGGAAATAAGCACATAATTTACTGGGGTAACAGATTTTCAACTTGTGGCATTTCTTTCCAGTTATCCATATCTGCTCTGTCCCAGTTAATGAAGAAGATGCCACTCTATCGTAAAGAGATTAGTAAGGTAAGGGGTCTTTTGTAATCACAACTTCACAGGAAATAATTCTGTGCACTTGACTTCTTGTTGAAATGTAGTTTTAGTCTCTCATTTTCCTGTAGTGTGCTATATAGCTCTTCTCCAAATTAATGTTTTCACCTCCTGTAAAATTTAGCAAAGAAAATTTGTTTCCATGTGTTTCATTTTACCATGTAAAAGAATGAAATAATTTGTGTGCTTTGAGGATTGAAGATATCATAACAGTTTAGTGTTTTACAAAGTATTATGGGAGTCAGACTCTAAATGAAGGGGAAAACACAGAAAATGTATGATGGTACTGAAGGATTGACTCTTGTAACCAGTAAAAATGATGGATATGCTTGGAAAAAAATCAAGCTATGACAGCTTGTGATTTTTTTCTTTTTTTTTTCTTTCTGTCTTACAGCAAGTTGTTCATCTTAGCATAGCAGAAGATTGCATGAGCAAGTTCAAATCTAACATAGAAAGGCTCTGTAAAACTGAGCAGGTATGTTTAAAAAAAGCCAAAAACCAAAGAACAACTTTGCAAGTATTGCAAGTACCACTTTTTTGTTTGCAGGAATAGAAGCTTGCTTTAACTGACTAAGCCACTATGTCTCTTGCCTTTATTTTGTAATCAGTTTTTGAGGTGGTAGTATTAAAGCTAAGTATAATATACAAGGCTCCTAATCTCCCAATAAGGAGGTGTTCCTAAAAGTTTTGGAGGTTTTTTTGGTCTTGAAATCTGGCTAATTTTTATAAGGATCAACTTTGTTTTCAGGGCTTGAAATTCCTATGTGGTTGCTTTAATATGTTGTACAGAGGGAAGCCCTTTTTAAAAGTCTGGGAAAAGCACCTTTTAGAGTGATGCATTACATTGTGACTCTAATTTACATTTTTAAGAATTCTAGATATCATAGTTTGAAATGTTTAAGTGTTATGTAGTGTTATTATAATGCTGTAACTATTGAAATCAATGTCAGACTTGTCATACTGAGTTTAATTGATGCAGCTTGATTGTTTCCTGAAACCTTTGGTTTCATAAAAATGCCTTTCAAAACACACAGAACAACATTGATTTAAATTACTTCAATGATTTTAACCACGGTGTCTGTTTTTATTTTTTATGAATTTAGGACTTGGCTCTTGGAACTGATGCAGAAGGTGAAAAAGTAAAAGACTCTATGAGGGTCCTCCTTCCAGTTCTGCTCAACAAAAGTCATGACAGCTCTGACAAAATCAGAGCTATTCTCCTGTATATCTTTAGCACAAATGGTATGACAAGTTGCCCCATTTTTTCCTCAGTGCTTTGAACTTGAACTCACGTTTTCAGATAGTACAGTGGTTGTAGTTAACCTAAGTCTCTGCACTGAAGAGCTGGGTTTGAAAGAAATCCTGTCTATCCTCTGTATTTGCTCTCACATTAGCAGCAAAGATACTACTAGCAAGGAGTTAAGAGATGTAATTCAAATGTGGATTCATAGAGTGTTTTAATACCGTTCTTATCCTTGCATTATAGTTTGTTCTCTTATTTTCACATGGTATTGAAGCTCTTAAAGGGGTTTTCATATCTGTGGCAACCTGAAAATTAAGTCAGTGGGGAAAAATTTCTTGTAGAGAAGGAGCAAATTGGCAGAATGTTGGTCTGAGGAATCTATAACAGTACTGAGTTTAGGTCTCAAGAATGGACCTAAACAAAGTTTTATCTGACATACAGTATTATGTATAACTTAGACTGGTCACACAGAACAAACAAAAAAGTTCTGCACTAAATAATAGCCTGTGAGACAAAACTGGTCTTACAGTCACTTGGTAAGTGTTGCCTCTTTTTCATATATTGCAGGAACTACCCAGGAGAACTTGGACAAGCTGATCCAGAATGTACACATAGAAAGTGATAGTGATATGATAAGAAATTGGAAATACCTTGATGTTCCTGTTATCTCTTCAGTAAGAATGTATTTATGTTTCTTGTGATTTCTTACTGTCCAAGGACCTACAGCTCTTTCAGCAACTCTTAGCAATATTATCCAGGTCTGGGTTTGGAAGCAGATAATTGCTAGGATTTCTTTTACCATTTAAACACATTACAAAAAAACATCTTTTGAAAATTATTCATGTTAGTTGTTTAAAGTAAGATATCCATAATGTTCCCTCTGCAATTATCAGGTGGTGGCTTCAGCTAGTTGATTTTGGAAACTGCCAACTCACTCAGTTCTTTCTCTCTGAAGTTAGTATTTCTAATGTATTCTGAATTCTAGAGATATGAATTATTGCTCTTTATATTTTTTATTATTGCTTTAAAATCTCATACTTATCCCCCCTTCTTCTGCTACTGACTGCTAATAAGTTTCAAAAATCCAACCAGTAAATAATACAACTGTATTTTGAAAATCTTTCCAGTTTGTTGCTCAGCAGCATAAATACATAAGAAGGGACCGTTCTAAAGAAGAAACCTTTCAGCTGTCTAGGTGGACACCTGTTATCAAAGATGTTATGGAGGTAAATTTCATCAACTAATTAATTCATGGGTGCAGTGCAGAAATTTACTTAAGTGAGTCGTTGTAGCCCATCTTTTGAGTTCCACAGTATTTTGAGTTAATTTTGTTAAATACGTCTGGTGGGCAAAGTGATCACTTCTAGTCTGTCTGCAATATAAAACATTACACTGCTTGTTAGTAATACTCCTTATTAGAGGTCATTTTAAAGGTGAAGCAAATGAAAGTGAAAGCAAGAAGTCTTAGAACAGCTTGTCCTGGGTTTGGCAGTGTTTGGTATAATTTAGAGATCTGTATCTTCTTGGTTTTAACTCCAATCTAATTGCAATTCCAATCTAAACTGTAATGTGGTAGAGCCTGGAAGGTGTTACATGCCAGAAGTGTAATTTCATTGTTCTCAAACCTCTTCCTAAGCATCAGTCAGTGACTGATGTCACATAAGATAGTGAGTTCCCTGGAGTGTTAGTCTGATCCAGTGTTGTCATTCATACATTCTTGATGGCTTTCTCATGTTCATTTATGTTTTTACAGGACTCTGACTTCTCTCATACATTGCCATATAGAAACTAAATACATTAAGGTTTTTACAGATGAAAAGCTGCTAGTGAAATCTGAACAGTTAAATCAGTATATGTTTATAAAAAAAGCATGTATACTTACAATTCCCTGTCATACACAAAACACTTTTAATATATTTTAGCATTATGTGGTCTAGCATTTTGTTACATAGGAGTGTTATTCATGAGATGCTACTCGCAGTTATTTGTTGGGCTGGATGTGTTGGCATGAAATGCCAGTTAGATATCCTTTCTGAAAGCTGAAACTTGGTGGAGTTAAGGTCTGTATGCCTGTTTAAAGTGTGTCTTTATTTTCACTTCAGGATGCTATAGAAAACAAATTAGATTCAAAAGACTGGCCTTATTGTTCCCGCTGCCCTCCCACCTGGAATGGTTCAGGAGCAGTAAGGTAAATGGTTTCATTTCCTGAAGCACAGTTTACCCAGATCTCAGTGTTCCTGTCATTTACTTTCTAAAGCCTTACAGAAGTGTGCTTACTGAACAGTGGAATAACACATGTAAGGTAATGTTCATGTGCCAAGCCTGTATTTTTATTTAATCTAAAACATACTCAACTTGGTTGTTATTTTAAAAATTCTTAGTAATGTATAGCTTTTTTTATTTGTAGTATCTCCCTTTTGCTTCAAGGTTAGAAATAACATTTCATATTCCCAGAATGAGAAGTTTAAACCATTGAGTGTGAAGTAGTTTCAGGAATAAATGTTCAGTACTGTGACTTAAATAAAAAGAATGTTTTACTTCTGGAACTTGTCTCTGCTATATTAGTGGTGGTGACATTATTGGGGTTAATTACGTCAGGAAATTAAATTAATCTTCCATAGGCTCTCTCATCAGGAAATACGGGCCTGTTAGGCATTTGACCCTTGTTGCCAGGGAGTGGTTTAGGCAAGTCCAGGACAGTTGGAGATCTTGAAATGAATTCTCTGCTAATGAATGTGAAATGAGTACTTGCATATTTATTATCACAGAGAGGCAATTTTTAGAATTTCTTTTTTTTAGCTCACTTGTACTGTTCCTTCTTTCTCTTTTTAATTCCACTAGCTCTTGAACCTCATGACCAATACATGCCAATTTGAGGGCTTTATCCCTTTTTATAGTGTTATTTAAAAGGGGAGACAAATGAATCAAGACTCCCAAGAGTGTTTCTGTTACAGGAATGCCAACTATGAATGCTCCTCTCTCAGGAATGCTCACTGCACTAACAGGATGCTGGAATTCAGGGAGGGAAACATTAAATATATCCTAAATGTGAAAGACACACTTGAATTGGAATTGGTACCTTTCTAAATAAAAAAACCCCTGAAAAGTAGAGGTACACAGCCTTAGGAAAATAGGTTTTTTACATCCACTTCTAATTAAACTATTTGTGGTGTATCCTTCTATTCCTGGATATGCACTAGGATGATCAGTGCCAGGGATCAGAGCAAGTCCCTGCACACTGGAACTTGATCTCTGTCTTACAGGCTGGTGAATCTTGAAGGCACTCTAGCAGGGAGATCAGGACTGCAGATGACTTAACCTGTGTATTAGATTCTAAGCACTTCAGGCTGCTTTTGTTTTTCCTAGGTATCTGAATCTGATTTGATAACAGACAAGTGTTTTCTTTAGAGATTCTGTTTGTGTTCAGAGATAGGAAAACCTAAGACTCCAGCTTTTTCAAATGAACCTCTCATGAAAAATGCCACTGGAATTGGGAGCATGCAGTTAAGCTGCTTGGCAGGAGTCCTTGGCATGTTAGCTGTGTGTGCAACAAGGTTTTTGTTTGGTATTTATTTTCCCCCAGTGATACCTAAACAGTACGAGTAATGTGATAATTTACAAAATTTAATAAAAACAACTTATCAATTTATCTAAATACTTTTGCTGAAATTATAATCAAGCCCTGAACTGCATGACAAAAATTGCTACTGCTTGTTGACTGTGTAATTTTAACCAAAAATGAATCAGGCAAGCTGTGTAAGTGTAATGCCATGAACTCTTGTGCAGCGCCCGCCAGAAGCCCCGAGCGAGTCAGAGGGAGGAGCGCAGGAGCAGCGCCAGGCTGATCGTGTTTGTCATTGGCGGCATCACCTACTCGGAGACGCGCTGCGCCTACCAGGTGTCCGAGGCCTACACGTCCTGTGAAGTTGTCATTGGTGAGCTTGCCATGGGAAAGGGTGGGGTGTGATGCACTCCATGTGGCTCTGGAAAATGTAAGAATCACTTTGCTTGGATCTCCTCTCTTGGTTCACCACACTAATACCATAGCCAGTGTAGTTCTTCAAACTATGCGCTTAAAAGGATCTTTGCAGGTTATCTCAAGTGATTGGTGTTTGGAGGGATTTTTTTGCCACAAGACATTAAGGACAAAACAGTTATGCCCTACAGAAGAATTATGTCAGAGACTTGTCAGTGTACAGCCTACAGGATTTCACGAGACCTCTATTTTGCGTTATGGTTTCCTCACAAACTTTTGCATCTGTCTGTGCTTTACCTTCAATGGCACTTGCTACTCTAATTGCTTTTGGGAGTAGGAAAGCTGACAGACTAGTGCAAAATTGCTCACTTTGGAAGGAAGATGAGTATTAACCCAACAATCCTAATCAACATTCCACCCAAAAAATGAAACAAATAAACCCCAAACCCCTTTTTCAGTGTAGTCCAGTTGACTTTGCAATACTTTCTAGTTTCTTTTGTGGCTACTTGGAAGCTTTGCATAAACCACACAATGATTAACCGCTTGAGTCCTGAAAACTCCCCTGCTTAAGATTTGGCAATTGGCAGCTGGTGTAGTAACCTCTCAGCGCTTTGGAGGTATTAAATGCTTGTTCCATCAGCTGCTGTGCTTCAAATGAATTTTAAATAGCATTACAGGAAATTAATAGGTGGTAAAACTTGTACATATATACAATATACAGGAACAGAACTCCTAGATACAGAATCTTACCACAGACCTGTGTCCATCTGCAGGGCTGGCTGATGGCTGGGTGCAGGGTCATCTAAAGCATTCTAAATTACTTGAGGAGTCTACATCTGGCATTTAAATTTAGTCTTGAGATTCCAATTGAATCTGTTTACCATCTACCATGCTTTTAAATAAATACTCTTCCCTAAGACAATGCCAGCCTTGATTCTGAAATCTAGAGTCTGTTAGCTCAAAATATTCAGGGGTATTGTATGTGTGTTTGTGTGTGGTTGGTTTTGTTTTAGTTTATTTTTTATTTGCTGGTTTCCCTGCTGGTGGTTGAGGTAGGTTTAGTGCTGGTTCTAGTTCTGAGTAGTAATGGAAAGACCAGGACAACAGGAATGTAGTTTAACCAGATTATTTCTTCATCTGAAACTTGTTTACAATACCATGTTTAGAGTAGGTGACTCTTTACTGGGGTATCTGGCACTCGCCACAGCACCATCTTCCCTTTTGTTTAGAGATTATTCTTGTGGTTTTGTTTGTAATCCTGATTTCTGAGGGAAGGTGATAGTTGCCAAATTTCCATATGGATTACTGAAAAATTAACATTTGTCTGTGTTCCTGATTCAGAACTCCAGGAATATTAGCCCATTCAGAGTGACACTACTTGTTGCCTTCAGAACTGCAGGGTGACTCTTCATGCCAGAAGTTATAATCACTCTCTGAGAATGAGAGGAAGTTGTGCATTGAAGAATAATAAGGATTTTCTTTGCTGCTTAACACTTGAATTTTGTTTTTCCGAGGAAATGTTAGTTAGTAAAAGCCAATTTTCTCCAACTGGTATTTCTGTGGAACACTGCTGTTTGTGATAATCTTGAATCCAGATACTTTACTGATTCTAGGGCAATGCCTCGCATTAACTCACCCTTTCACAGAAAGTCAGGTTTCTTGCAGGCTGGGACAAGTGCCCAGGTTCAGTCCTGTCTTTCAAACAGGGCAGAGCAGGACCTGAAACTTGTGTTCAAGGTATGAGTCCTGATCTGGATGTCTGAGTGTGGGAAGAGGGACATTGCCCACATAATGGTGACACTTACATGATGGTGCTTTCCATGAAAACACTTTGAAATGTTGCACTTGTCAGTTTTCCAGGTGCAGTAAAAACACTGGCACGTAACTGGTGGTTTAAAGAGGGAATGTCTGCAAGTCAGAATTTGGTTGATACAGTTCGTACTTATGTTCTTTTGTCAGGTTCTACTCATATTTTGACACCTAGAAAACTACTAGAGGATGTGAAGAGTCTTAGTAAACCCAAGGATATGGTCTGGATGAAGGATGAATAGATATGGTGATGTTTGTGATGCATTAAAAACACAAACAGTATGTACATATTCTAATGGAACTGACTTTTCCAAATACTGCACTTCAATACTACATGTTTCCTAATGGAGGTCATGTTATAATTTAAATTTGCTGCTTTTGGGGGAGTAGAAGGCAGAGAGATGAGAAGATAAACACGTGTGTTTCTTAGGTTCTGTTTAGTATTACACTGCAAGTACTTTTTCACAAGGGCATGTTTGTTCCTAACTAATTATGCTAAAAAGTATTGTAATTATATATAAACTGGAATTGTCTTTGAGAACTGTGAAAACTTTCCATAATGGCATTTATTTCTAAAGATGACTGAATTAAAAAGGGCCTGGGCTCTTGGGTAGGGATTTCAAGAGAAAACTTGTAAATATGGGTTTATGGTAAAAATGTTTAATACAAGTTCAGTGTCATAAGTGTAATGTTTTCTGTAAAAATAACTTGCTGAAAATTCTTTAAATATGTATAATTGTGAAAAATCTAAAGGCTTTTTAGATGATGCTGGGTAAGGTAGATTGTTAATCACAGAATTATTGAGCAGTTCCAATCACAGTAAACAACTTTGGAGAAATGCTGTCAACTGTGCACTGAAGTACACTTTATATTTAAGTATATACAGAAATTATTACTGAAGCTTTTTAAAAATTCAGTTTCTTAGCAAATTCCTTATGATTGTCTACATAGTCTGTCTTGTTTCAGAAGTTGAATTGCCTGTGATACAGAAATTCCAAAATGAAGCATGTCTCTCTGAGGAAGTGGAGGCATGGGGAAAGGACTGGACAAAAAGGGAAGCAGCTCAGTCTTTCAAAGAGTTTGGTAACTTGGAAAAGAAAAGCACAAAGCACACAAAATGACAAAACCTGATGCACTCAAAAGAATTGACTTTTTAAAAGTTGTGTTACATACTAAGAAATATTTAAATTTGCATTGAAGAGAATAAAAAACCAAATTGTATGAATTCTGTAATACTGGTAATGTTTAGATTTCTCTTTAAAAATTATTTAATTAAAATTACTGAACTTTTAACTGGATGTTGTATTTATGTGCCTTGAAATGTTAGATTGTTGTATGTAGAGTCCAAGAGAAATGTTATAATGAAAAATAATAGATTGCTTGTGTCCTTATATTTACCTTTTCCCAATAATGAGTATTTATTCTTTTTTTGTGATTTTGAGTTTTTTCCCTTTATTTTTCCTCTCAGGTTAATCAATACTTTAAGAGAACATATTTGTTAGATGAGTTCATTCAGAGTTAATTAAAAGGAGGAAAAAGGTCAAGTTCTCAGAGAGGAATGAAAGGGGAGTACATGACATAATGATTCTAAAATGTTGCAGGACATGGGATGTGATGAGAGTAAGTGTCTGTAGCTTTCAAATTTGGAATTGAATCTACACTGAATTTTTTTTCAACAGGACTACAGAAGCAACACTTTTAAATCAACTGGTTCACCAAATAGAATGGGGACTAAACACTAAACTAAAAGCAAAACCAGGGATAATAAGGAGAGGCAAATGAAGTTCTAAGGATATACAGTAAGGCTAAGGAGGAAAGGAGTTGAATGGTATTGTTGGCTGTGGAGGGTGGGAGAAGGCCTGAAAAAAGCCAGTGACTCAGGCTATGAGCAAGTGGCACATGACAGTGAGTTTAGTAATCTCTGCTTGTATGAACAGAGTCTGGGTTATTTCTGTGTCCTCCACTGATGAAATTGCTCAGGTTTGCCTGAGAATGGCTGTCCTTTCTAAGGAATGTACTGGCATTTCTAATTTGCTTTTCATTAGTCCTTATGTCCTTTGGCTTCAGTGAGTAGCAGCCCTGATAAAACACAGCTGTTAGCTGCTTGCCTTTAATCACTGCAGTTAAATGGATGTTAGAAGGAAAATAAGAGATGACTTTTCTTGGCTCACTGAATTTCTACAGTATTTTAAAATTTTCCAACCTACTTAGCATCAGCTAAAATGTGAAAGCCAGATATATCTGACAAATTAAGGACATCAAATAGAAGGAACCAATTTAATTGTTACAAAATACATAAACAACAAACGGTGTAATTCAGTCATTGCAACATACAAGGATGTTTCTTAAAAACAAACAATTCTCAATATAGGGCACTCTAAAACTAAAGTAATTCCAACTGTTGACTGTGACTTGGTATGTTAACATGATGTTTGCTTCTAGATGTCTCAGGTACAGAAGGTGTTTTCTCTTGGTGTGATTAAGCAGCTGCAGTTGAAGCGTGAGAAGAAATGACACGTAATAATGACTGAGATTTATTCTCACATTTGGGAAAATCCAAGTCAGTTAATATTGCTTGTTTATGCCAATTTTTATGAAGCTGTCTTAAGTGAGTACTTACAGAAGGTATCTGTACACAGTAATGGATTAGCCAGCCTAATTCAGTAGAATTAATAATTTGTTTTACAGTTGTAAGACTGAGTGTAAACATGGAATACCTTTGTGCTCTGGTTTGGTTTAGTACCAATAGGTACAGAACAGCTAACTAAGCTAGCTGACTTTTTCATGTTTGTGTTAATTTGATTTTTGCAGAGATACTAATGCTTCCAGTATGAACCAGCAGAACAATATTGCATTTGAACTAGATAATTAAAACTGTTTTCTCTTAACTTTAGCTAGATCTTCTGAAACTGCTTGTACCATTCGCTCTGTAGCTTCCTTCAAACTGTTTGCTGTCTCTATGGCATGATCCAGAGTAGAACTTAAAACCTGTTGGAAATAATAAAATGTAGCCTTGTTAATAGAGAAGGCAAATGTATACATAGGTACTGGAAAAAGATGATGTTTATGTTTTGTCCATGATTTTCACTCTGAATGCGTGCTGAGAAGCAAAAATTATAGACTGTTCTAGGATTCAAGTTGGAAGTATCTGTTAATTGTTTCTCTCTTTGTGTATTCATTTGAACTGAGGGATATTTACACCTTTCTAATGTATCAGCTCCAGTGTGGTGAATGTTTTTGGTACTGAGAAGGCTTTCTTGAGGTTTTGATAGTGGTTTGTCTAGCTAGGCTTTGTTTCAGTATATGAATCACAATTCTAGAGATAGATCCAGTGCTATGTTTTGGTCTATTTCACTTTTTATACAGGGACTGAGTTGCACAACAAGCCTGTATGTATCTATATGAAGAAATATAGTAACATATAAGCCAAAATGCTTGGGGTTTGAACTCTCTCTTGTCTTACCCTCAAATGCACTACACATGCTAAGACTGTAGGAATCAGCTTGCTAAGAATGGGATGTTCTACAGTGCCATGAGCTATGGAGGTAATCCTTTCAGGAAAGATGTATGGCTTTTAATTTTCACTCAAAAGTCTTACATTTGCATAGGAATCACTGGCATTTCTGTCTCTGATGTTGATTGCAGATTTTCTTTGGACAGATTTCTTACTGGGTGTGTATTGCTGTGAAAGGACAATTTTATCATATATGCTTGAGCAGCAGGTTTTGGCAGCCACAAAGGATTTCCTAAAGATAAGACACATAAATAAAATACCATTCAAGTAAGAAAAAGAACTTATAAACTCTGAATTGCATGCATACACCTTGATAGCACTTGGTTGCAAGTTAATTTTACAGTAAGTAGAATTTTCCATGCAATTGTAAAGCACAGTCCATCATTATTTGTATTCTATCTGCATTGCAATAAACCAAAAAAATGTTCTAGGATGCAGAGTAAGAAAAAGTTTCTCATAATAGCAGCACTCTGCTGCTGCTGTAACTTTGTCTCACAGTGTTCTCTGCCACTGTGCAGCTCTCAATTGCAGCTGCTGAACTTCCAGGCAATTCCTGCTATTGAGTAAGGCTGTCAAAATATTGTGACAAAACTTGTTTGCATTTCAGTCCAGTCTGTGCTACTGTTAGGAATCCAGCTTGTTTCTGTCTCATGGTGTAATTTATTATTAAGAACAATTAAAAGTAGGATTATTACTTATAGAGCAATAGTTAGTAGCAAACAGAGCTGCATCCTAATAATACAGGCCTGCTTTTGAATCTTTGAGTGGGAACATCCTCTTAAACTGAATTCTTTTTTCATTATTAAATGTGTCAGCTAAAGAAGCTACATTTTACTCTTCATTACATTAGGAGAGAAGAACTAATCTAAGAATTGTTTGCACATGTTCTTCAAGCAAATATTTTAATTTCATTAAGGAGTGAAATTCTAATATACAACATGTACTGCAAAAGATAAAATATTATTCCTGCTTATGATACCTGGTGTTTTTTCCATGCTGAGTCTTCCACAATGGGGTTTTCTATTGTACTACATAGTTATTACTACAGCTTACCTTTCATGAAGTCTGGTTACAACTTCATCTGGCTGACTGGGTTTTTGAGCCTTTTGAGTGGAGATTCTCTTCTGTGAATAAGCTGGAGTTGAGGCCATGTTGAAAACAAAAAAAAAGGTAATTTTCCTGTGTATTTTAACTTTTTTTTCTCTTTAGCATAAATTAAAAACCAACTGTCACTGCTGAATAAAACTTGAATATGTTTCAAGTTTTTTGTAAATGAGGACAGATTAACCTTTTTGAGTTTGCTTTTGCCTTTAGTTGGCAAATGGAATGCAGATTTATATTCAATTTTATGCAGTGAAAGACTGCAGTGGGGAAGTGTAGAATAATCAGTGTCATAATCCTAATAATGAATACTACTTTGATTTATAGTTTCACAGGCTTGCTAGAGACATAGTTAATTTATGCTTTCTTCTTGATGAAATTTTATATTTTTCTTTAAGCAATTTTTTCTTATGCTAGAGAGAGTCTAAGTGACTTGAAAAGGTTCATGTTCAAATGATCTAATTTTTTTTAATTAGGCTCCCCTTGACTTTGCTGCATGTCACTCAATATGAAGATAGAGCTGGAATTTTCTTTAGTACTTGTTTATACTACGTTAGGTAATGGCTGGCACTATAAAATTTGGCACAGTAATGCCTAATTTTCATATCCTTTCATGTGGCTCTGCAAAATGAGATATTCCTGCCATAAATGAAAGATGAAAGGGCTTCCACTCATAAAGAACCAGGGAAAGTTCAATCTGTTGTGCATGGAGATTAAGCTTGACCAGGTGTGTAAAAGTTAGATTTACAGTGCTAATGAGTGCTTATACTAAATTAAATGTGGCCTGGTGTGTGCAGTGTGGCTTTCTGCCCCTAAAAAGCTAGCCTGTGTTTGTTAATTACCCATCACACTTACAGGATGAACCAGAGCTTCTTCTACACAGGGTACAAGACTGAACAGACTCTTTATAATTCCTGAGTTTTACTTGATCTCTGCTTCCCCTGGGGCATCTGCATCTAAGTCCTGGAAACCAAGAGATGAGTGGTTTAGAAAAATAAAACTACAAGCAGTGTTTCCTTGTAGATGTTCATACTTTTGCAATCACTGTACCTTGTTTCTCTCCACAAAATCTCACATTTAATGATTTGTAACTTAGAGTGTCACAGTTGCCAAGGTCCTTGCTTTGTGAGTCATTATAAGAATCACAGGCTGAGAAGTCTTCTGAATCACTGCCTAAAATTCAAAAAATAAGTTAAAAGGGTCTGAAATATGAGAAGCTTTGGCTAATGTACTCAGGTAATTATTTGGCTTTCAGCACTGTAATTTCAGAGCCTTTTGCTGCCATTAATACTACTGCAATTTGAGGAAGTACTTTTCACCCCCAGGAGAGTGAGGATTGAGTTAAGATTAGGTTTCAGCCCTGTCTGCAAGCTTTGAATGTAATTTTCTGGTGGTGCTTATTTTCAGACCAAGAATTGTTGGCTTTTTTTCTTTAATGATATTCTCCATGTCCTTGTCCACAGTGTTATGGGAACAGTGCAGCATAATAGGAATGGGATGAGAATTTGAGCAGTTCTAGTATGGCACTGCTTTAACTATTGCACCAACCAGTACAAACAATAATCCCAGGATGCTATGTTAAATTAAGAGGATATCACAAAAAGGTCAAGGAGAACTGATAGACAAAAGGTAAGAAAATTTGGATATTCAGACTTAAAACTGAATGTAGGACAGCTCATGCTGTTCTCCTTTAGTTGCAAGTTACTAAAAGCTTCAGAATATTCTGCAGTGGAAAGGTAAAATTGTTTTTAAGCAGAAAAATGAAGAAAAATTACTCCAAAACCAGAAAGTGGAAGTACTGATATGAAGTGTCTCAGTTGTCAACCTCAGAATCATCTTCTAGAACATTAAATAAATGCAGGTCAGTAGAAAAAGCAAAATCAAAGCATTGTGTGCACCTCACTGTCACGCTCTTGAAAGTATTAGCAGTGGCGATATTTGGAAACTTATCTAGAAAGCTGAATTGGATTTATAGAGTAATTCAGGTTGGTCAGGACTTCTGGAGGTCATCAGATTTTCTCCCCTCTCAAAGCAGGCCCAACTTAAAGGAAGTTGCTTAGAACCCTGTCCAGTTGAGTTCTGAATGTCTCTGAGAGTGGATATGCCACAGCCTCCCTAGAGCAAACTGTTTCAATGCTTGAGCAAGTTAAAAATCTTTCATTCATATCTAACTGAAAATTGCACTGCAATGTGTCTGTTGCCCCTTGGTCTGTCACTGAGAGTTCCACAGTGAATTTGACCTGGTGTTCTTTTTAGTTTCCTTTTTATTCTCAGTGTTTTGTGCTCTGCTAAGCAGTAACATCTGTTAAAACCACAATTTTCATGTTGAGACATAAAAGGAATGTATTCCCAGGATTCTCTAGCAGGTTTAAGCATGGTTCTGACCTTTATATGCCCTCATGACTTACTCAGGTTGGTATCTGATAAATCAGTTGGTTTTCTCTGCATGAAGAGTGGACACGTCCCAGTTTTTTCTTCCTGGATATTTGTATTTCTTTGAGCATGAAAACAGGATATTTTTATTGTATATTAATATTTCTATGATGAGACTTACAAACATCTCTAATACATCATACTAATGATTAATTTCTTAACTAAGAATAAATCATATTTATTCACAGAACTTTACTTGTATCAGTTATCTGAAAAGGTGGTAAGCAGAAGTTTAATAATTAACTAGTTGAAAAATAATTAACCCTTTAGTTAAAGGACACATTCTGACAAAAGCACCCTGACTTCCCACAAGTGTTAAAAATGCTTAAAAGTAAAGATCTTGATAATCCTGCATTGGAATAATAAAGTAGTATGAAATCTTAGCTACATCCATCTGTTACCACTGATAGTGTTTTGATACAACATACATTAAATATGATTTGGTATCTTAGTAACTTTGAACTGTTATTAAGGCTTTAATTTAATGCCTTTAGTTAATTAGAGGAATATTTGAGATGCACCCTCTGAAAGAAAAAGAACAAGGTTCCTCGTTTGAGTTACCTGATGTGTATTTTTAACTTAGGGTGTATGGGATCATCAAGTTTATTTGGAATATTTTCTGCCTGTTCATGAACATAACGATCAGAAGATTGAACTAATAGTCTTTCAATGACAGAGAAAAAGTGGAAGCTAGGTGAGTTTTACTAGAGAACTATTAACACCTACCCTACAAAATAATCTAACAGAATTAGGTTAATATGAATATGCTCTATGCTGCATTTTTTCCCAGAAGCTCTGCTTCTCTACTGGAACTTACTTCAGTTCTCTTTTTTAACCTTAGATTGGTTAAGGGGGACCACTTATTTTATTTTTCTAATCTCATTGAGGTGTTTAACACCTATCAAATGCTTCCCAGGAGGGTGGAGATAGTATTTAGAATTTTCACAAGGTTTTGATTGTTAATTATGTAAGGATCAGCATCCCTCCCTTTTCTTGTTTAATTAAAAATACCACACAAATATTGGCAAATTATCTTTTACTGGCACTGTACTCTGACTAGTTATTCACATTGTGAATTTGTGTGGCTGTCATGAATTTTATACAGATGACTTAACTCCTAGGTGCAAGTGATGGTGGTGTTTTGGCTTCAGGAAATACTTGCAGACTGAGAAAGGTAGGAAGACCAGGCTAGGAGGAATTCTTGGATATGCAGTCATAGAATTCTGCAGATTTTTTTATTCTGGAAATATTCATGTTGCTTTTCAGATTTCAGTCATCCTAATTTTCTTATTCAGCAATTAATTTTATGTACGTTTTTATTAATATTTCAGTGGCTGTTTCCAAGTTTTCACTTACATGTGCAGACAAAGATTGCACTTTTTGCCTTCTAAAGAAAGTTGATTTGCTGGTGGGATTACATCAGTTGTCTGACTTCTTTCTCCTTCATGCTTCTTGTGAAAAGTTGGAGTTTCAGTACCTCTTGTTTGTGGGAGATCAGCAGTGCTTGAAACTGTGAGGCTCTGTACAAAGTAACAAAGCACAGACGCAGGAGTACATGAACCTTGCATTGCAAGGAATGACTCCTACCAAACAGCATCTCCTCAGGCTCTCTTATTTTTCTCTGAAGCTCAAGTTACCTAAAACATTGGTTATGGAAGGATTTGTTGAGACTTACCTGTAGATTTGTAGAAGAAAGTAAGATATTTTTGGCGGGGGAGGAGTGTGTATGTGTATTTATGATCTGGGAGAAAACATTACCATTCTTAGGAGTAAACTCAATTTTCTGTAGTACAATACCATTTGGTCTTCTCATAATTCTGCAGGTAAGATCATGGACAAAGTAATTTTTCCTCCCACAAAATGATAGTGATTAATTCCCCAAAACAGCTTTGCAGAAGTTAAATTAGCTACTCATATTTTCTTACTGTGAAATAAATGCTTTTGAAACTGGAACTAAAGGCATTCAGTATAGTTTTGTCTTTATACTTAGGTTTCTGTTACAGTTAATTACATATTATGAAGTCAGTGTTTCATTAAAAATATTTTCTTTTGAAATAATGTGCTAGCTAAAAGCATCATGCTCTTACTAGAGAACATACAATGCCACAACTGCACTTAGGTTCTCAAGACTTGCATCAATAAAACAGAATCACTGTAGTGTTTAATAAACTCAGTTACCTCACAGAAAGACTGGGCAGATTCATAGGAAGTCAGTAACGATGACAGGCTGCCTTTGCTGCCTTCCATTTGTTCCTGAATGTCTTCAAGCAGCATGCCAAGTCTGAATATTCCTCCTTCCACCCTTCTAAATCCAATCACAACTCACAGTTACTTAAAACTCTCTAAAGTGATCTTTTATTTCTTACCATGATAACCAGAGTGGACATCACAGTACATTTCCCATAAAATAAAAAAATAAAATCTATGGAGTTGTCAAAGTACCTTTTAAGTATTTGAATTAATCAAATAGATATCCAGTTACAACTAGGACATAGAAAGCCCAAGGTGAATTTTGGCCAAACAACTTACAGCTTACCACATTAAGATAACATTTTCACTTCAGGAAAACTAATGGATAAATGAAGCAAAATCTGTAAGACAGTCAAAGAAAATAGACTGATGTACTACTTAGCACTTCTCTTCTAACCTCTCAGGATCAAACTCTCCAAGGTTGATAGGCTTGTCCTTGTAGTTCTGCAGGTGTAAGTTGTGGTGCTCTTCTCTAGCTTTTAAATAATTTCTTTCCAAGGCATCAAGGTATGTTTTCAGTTGATTTAATGCCTTCATCAATAAGAAATATTTCAATACAAAATGTCATGATAACTTAGCATAAGTAGCTGTCACTATGTCTTGCTATGTAAGCCAGATGTTATTTGCAGTGCTGTTGGTAAGAATTTTGGTAGTACTCTGAATTGAAACAGGACTGCATATTTTATATTCACCTAATACTCTGTGCTTCTCTATTATGTCCAAGTAAAATAATAAAAATAATTTCTGAACTGATGCCCTACATGTCAAAATTCCTAACGTATATGGCATCTTTAGGCCTTTTATTAATAGTTTAAAGTCAGAATCCTTAAAAGATTTAAGAATTGAACACCTTCATTTTCGCTTGCTAATCTCATACCTTCAGTCTGAATTGAGAAGAGTAAATATTCATTTCAGGTAAACATCAAGACATAAGTCTACAGCCATTTCAAGTGTATTTCAGATAGCTCAAAATACATAAATTAATTTACCAGATATTTGTCTTGTAAAAAGAGTGTTTCCTGGATCATATGTTTAGAGAAGTCTTCCACCTTCAAGACAAAAATATTAGACTTAACTATTATGTTTAAACCAATTTGCCAAGAGAGTATGGAATTTGAGCATCAGTGCAAAGTGGATATTGAAAGAGAGCTCTTACTTTCTTAGTCAGTTGCTCTGTCTGATCCTTTAGGATTTGAGACATCTTTTCTCCTAGTGTTAGTTCTGGCAGTGAATCAGAAGGATTCAGACACTGTGCTTTTACTCTCCCAGCTGCTGGTAGTGCTGATGCTGCTGTTCCAGGCTGCAGTCCTATGGAATATGAGGGAAGATTGGTCAATTGCAATTTTGGCCCAAAAATGTAATCAAATTACATTAAATAGTCATTTGCATAGCTACTGTAATTTTATTTACTTGCTTTAAGCAAACCATGTGTAGGTTGTACAGGGACAGGAGCACGTAATGTGATGACATCAGGTGGTGTCCCAGTGTGTCCTGAGGAAATGGCAATGTTGGCATTTGCAAAGTCTGACTGAGGAAGTATCTGTTAAAATGAGAACCTTCATTATAGATACAATGTATAGAACACTTATGGAGCTGGACAAAAAACTTTAACTCAAAATACAAAATATTAATTAAATATATCTTATATATATTTTCTGAGTTGACAGATGTGTAAAGTGTCTCATTGTATAAATACTTAAAAAACTTCTCTGTGTTGTGAAAATACAGAGGATTTGTATAAATGGGAAATACAATATGAAGGTGGTGAAATAGTTTTAGGGGAATAGTTATAGTGCTAGAGGTAAAGAAGAATGACTTTAAAAAAAGTATTTTGAGAGATTTACCTTAGGATTAAATCTCAGATGGTCAATATGATTCTGGATGTCAGCATGCTGTGTCAGCATCTCATTTGCAGCCAGGAAATAATAGGGAAAACTATTAAAACTTGTTGTGTCTCAAGCATTTTACTAAGATGTAAATCTAGGAACAGAATTAGGAACCTGTAAAGCTCAGTGAGTGAGCTCCATGTCAGAGCATGAAATTGAGCAGCAGTTATCTAATGACTAACAAGCTTTAAAATAAACTCACAACAGTAAGAGAAATACTGTCGAAAAAATCCTTTGTCAATAAATACCAGTCTCAGTAGCTGAAGTGTGTTAGATGTGAAAAAAGGCAAAGATGTCTTAACAGGGGTACAGTAAAAAATATTGTTCTTAAAAATGTTGTTCTTAAAAATGTATTTGAAGTATTTTTGTGAATTTAAATATTTAAATATAACACTAGAAATAACACTTTATAGTGGATTTCCTAATGATTTGATAGGATGCTTTATCATCCCAAACAATGCTCCAGTGTTAAATACTGGTGTATTAAATAATACTCAGCCTTTAAATAATGGTAATGATAGTTCTGTATACAGTCAGTCCCACAGAACTTTATTTGTGAAAGTAGTTTTTGAGTCAGATGATGTACTCATTGATACCTACAGAGTGCCTATAGAGCTAGTCATGCTAGATTTTATGGGATAAGAATATCTTCTTACAATAAACCACTCTTACCCAGTATGGAGAATTTCTTCAAGCATCCTAATTACCTGTAGCTGTTGCAGCAGTTCTGAAATACTCTTTTCTTCTTGGTTCTCTACTTCAGCAGAATTGAAGTAATTCTCATTTTCCAAAATGTTGTTCACAGGTACTGATTTACTTTGCAAAATAGGAAAGGGTTTTTCTCTTGCAGTTGAAGGAATGGAGGTAATATTGTCAAGTTTTTTTGGTACTTGAACTTCTGAAGCAACTTCAGAGAAGTCAGGAAGGCAATAGTGAGCTTGCCCTTGGCCATATTTGAGCTCACAAGGTGAAACTGTTCTCTTAAACAGGCCTCTCTCATCTTTCATGTTTTGAAAGGTGTGTGTATCTCCAGCCTCATTAATCACTGGTGAAAATTCTTGTCTGCACCCACATTGACCAGAAGAAAAAACAGATTTCTTCAAAACAGATCTATTTCCATTTAATGAGTTTCCATTTTTGTCATGAGCCTGTACTTCTTTGTGCTTTTCTAAGGGATACTCCTCGGAGCTGGCTGCCCATTGTTCATACACTAAAGAGCCTCTGCTGTGCTCTGAAGGCTCAGGTTTGCTCCCGGTGTCATCGATACTTTCAGTAAAGGACACCTCCGGTATTGTCTCACATTCAATTAAGGGGCATGTGCTTAGCAATTCTCCCCTGGCAAAATGGCGCAGGAGGACCGTGGACATCTTGGAGGTAGTTCCATGTTCTCTGCTGCCTGCTTTACTGGCACTGCCAACAGGTAATTCCTGCTGAAAGGAAGCTTCGCTTCCAGGCATTTCAATTGGAACTGCAGTTGTTCCTCTGGTGCCTCTCTGATGACTGGAGAATTCTTCAGGCTGTAGAGGAGTTTCATAATTGGCTGCTGCTTTTTTGTTTTTGTTATCTTCAGAACAGGCTAAGTTTAAAATACCAGAAATATCTTTTGTACAACTACAGGCATTCAAATTCTCTGAGTTATTGTTGTATTTACAGCCTATTCCTACATCTCCATCATAAACTAAGTAATCTTCTTCCTCTTCAGTTGCATCTGTGCTACAGCCTAATGCATCTGCAAATGAATTATTCATTTGGGCTTTCATCCAGTCTGGCAGTTTGCACTTTTTTGTAGTCTCCATATCCAGTTTATGTAGAGTATCAATGCCATTGCTTTGCCGGTTGTGGACAGAGCTTTTATTAGTGCATGGATCAAAATCTGAAATGTATGATTAATAGTTATTTTATACTCAAGTACACATGACAATAATACCTAGTTATCTATTTAATTAATATTTCATTATCTCCTTAGTGTAGCTTTTTTAGAACACTCGTACTGACATGAACGCTTCCCTATTTGCACTAGTGGAAGTCTGCTGGAGGAAATAAGACACAAACGATAAAAGCATCGGGAACAGCAGTTGCTGCCAGTGTGGCAGTCCCGCTGTAGTAGTGAAGACAAAAAAACTTGGTAACAAAGCCACGAATGGTACTAGAGTTCAATCTCAGGTTAAAAAAACCCGAACAAATCCCCCAACCCCTTTCCCTTGCCACTCTAAAGCGTTTCTTTAGCTTATGCTCTAGAGAAAGATCACAAACTTTTTTCCCAGTTTACTTTTCGCCCCCGTGTATCAAACGCAATGCAATTTATTAGCAGCTCAGCATCATGCAATGCATTGTTTCACCTTATCTGCAGTGGCTCGGGGCGGCAGAGGCGAGCTCGCAGCCCGTCTTTCCTACGGGCACCGGCGGTGCCGTTCCCGGCCGGGGCACGGCGTGACCGCGCCGCGGGGCCGCTGCCGAACGCTCCGCCCCGGCCCGTGCGCGCCGCCCGCCCATTGGTCCGTGCGGATGATGCGCCCGCGCCGGCCGTTGGCGGCCGCGCCCCTGGGGCCGGGCGCGCGCGGCGGCGATTGGCGGGTTCGAGGAGCGGCTGCGCGTGGGCGGGCGGGGCTCGCCGCCCCTCACGGCCCCGCTCGGCCCCGCCAGCCCGGCTCGCACAGCGCCGGCCCCTCGGAGCCCCGCCGGCCCCTCGCAGCCCAGCTGGCCTTCCGCAGCCCCGCCGGCCCGGCACACAGGTGAGCGGTGCGGCGGGGAGCGCTGGGTGGCAGAACGGGGGCTCCGAAGGCGGCCCCGGCAGTGCCGCGGCCCCGAACGGGGCGGTGTGTTGGGGAATGGAGCGGCGGCGCGGCCCTGGGCGAGCCCGGTGCCGTGTGCCGGCGGCCGCCGAGCGCCCGTGGCCAACAAAGGCAGGAGGTGCCGGTGCCCGGCGCGGGCGGGCTGTGTGCCGCGATCGCCCCGGAGGCTCTGAAGGGAGCCGGTGCCAGCAGGGCTGTGCATCGGCCGCCTTCGGGCACTTGCGTTGTGCTAACGAGATGGATAAATAAAATGAAAGCATAATGGTAGGAGCGAAACAGGCTGGTGAGAGAACCGGAACCAAAGAATCTGCGAGCATAACGCGAGGAGTGAGGAACACAGGGAGCAAGCTCTAAACTCGTGTTCGAGAGTTTGAGTTAGGCGTTGTGTTGTGGCATATCTAAACTTGGATTATACCAAACCTGTATAGGCTGCAGGTTTTGCTGGTGTAGTTCCTGCCCTTCTGTTGCCTTTTCACTTTTTCAATGGAGGAGATAGTAAATCAGAAACTGCTGTCTGTCCCCTTATTGACCTGATTGCCAAGACACAAATTTTACCCCACCCTGAAGCTGTGGCCTTTCTACAGCTTGAGAAGCTTTTTCAGCCAAATGTTGTTCCTGTTAGGTTCTTGCCAGTGACTGCAGGGCTCATGTATCCTGGGTTGCCATGGAGAGCTGTGCTACCATCTCAGAATTTGGAAGAACGTGCTGAGTCTTGCATCTCAGAAAGATCAGTTAAGAGATTCCAGTCCCTGCTTAAATTTTGTCTGGAAACTTTATGCCTCTTTTTAAAGTGATAATTCGATTAGACCTGAAAATGCTAGCAAAAAGACCTCCTCATAATACAGTCCTTCCAAATTAATTGCCTATATATATTTATACTGTGTTAAAACTAATTTGTAGGCCTGTCCAAGCGTTCCTTCTTACTAGTTTAATTAATGGTTAGCAAGTCTTCTGGACTGTGCATCCCTCTTCAGTAGGAAGGACTTTGTACTTCCAATTACTTCCCTATAAAGCTGGGACAAAACTTTTACCTGAAATCTAAGACAGCTTCACTGGATTAAAAGAAACCTGTGTGAGTGTTATCAGTTGCTTTATTTAATACACTGTTGTTCAAATGCTCTTGTAAGTCTTTCAAGCATCTTAAAACTGCTTAGGATTGTACATTGCTGCTACTCTTGCTGCAGAATTACTTCACAAAGTGATGGTTCAAAGGTCAGTCTAAGTTTTGAAAAGCTTTTTTCTAAGAAATGCTCCTTGTCCATAGTTTTAACTACTGAACATAAGGGGATTTTTTTTTTGCATTTATAATTTTTTAGTTTCTCCTCATCTACCACTTTTTAAGTTTAATGGGCAACATATTTCTACTTTTTGTCCTCCAGGTTTGTTGTAGCCTTTGTGTGGTCAGTTTCACTTCCCACAATTAGTCCTGCCCAGATCTGTAACTACAGTCCTGCTTTCAGCAGCTTTTAAGGTTAACGTCTTCATGAACTTGGTTTTGTTTGAGGAGTGAGTGATTATCTTAGGACTTTTGAGAGATCAACCTGTTACTGTTATCAGTGCTCCTGCAAATAAAAGCAGAGAGAGGTACCAGAAAAAACCTTGAACTTTTCTTTAGCCATTTAGTAGCAAGTCAGCTATACAAGGGATAATATCCAAAAAGGAAAAGAAGGTATTATTTTGTGGAAGACCACAATATTAGGAATGCAAAATACAGGAAAAGCATAAGTGGAAGGACTGGCAAGAGATGGTCTGAAACACATACAGTGTTGAACAGATGATTAATGTCAAATGGTTTCTTGAGACTCAAATTGGCAGTGTTTGAGGAATATGTTACTTGTTCATATAATAAAACTTATTTGTGTTCTAGGAAGGAAAGCTTTCATTCAGCTGGGTTACAGGCAATATGAACCACATGTAATTTATAAAGAAGGCTCTCTAAATCTATTATTTCTTCTTTATTTCTGTTTGCTATATTATTTTTCCTCCCATTGCCACGTTAGTATACTCTTAGGAGTTTTGTTCCTTGCCTGCAGCGCTTTGGAGCCTGGACCTTACCTAGCTGGTTTGTTAGAGAACAGGATGTGCTACTGTGACCAATTCTGTCAGCGCAATAATGCCTGTACAGAGTGGATGAACTGGCAGTGGGGGCAAAGTGGGCTGCAGTCCAGTAGTCATCACACTGATGGAACAAAATGCACTGAGGAGATTCTGAATAGATTTGCAGCTGCATCCCAAGTGTTGGAATGAATACGCAAAGCAGTTTACAACTTGGCACCTCAAGAAATACTGTTTTCCTTAATCTCCATAGGTGATGTGCTATAAATGCACTGTACCTGTCTGTAAGAAGCAAACAGTGTGAAAAAGCAATGCATTGCCTTCTCACTGTTGTGTGTTCATCCTGCACCTCAGCTGCTGCAGGCTGTGGCTGTAGGCTCATCAGAGAGGATGTTAATGGGGGCTGAGGGGCACAGGGGATCCCCACAGTGCTGCTGGCAGTGACCTGCCATGGATCACTGCAGTTGTGTAACAGAGCCTCTACAAGAGCTGCATCTGCTCCCTGCCAGGTAAAGCCGTGCTGGAGTGGTGAGGATTGGCTGTGCTCAGTGTCTGCTTTGGCTCTGAATGAGCACCTCAGGGCCAGCCAGGGATTTTGAAACAGCAGCTGTATTGCTGCTACTGTGTCTTACTGCCAGTGATTCTAAGGATTATTATTATTATTTAATTTATAGAATTATAAGGTAGCTTCTTCAATTTCTTTGTAAGATGCTTGTACAATATTTGTCTTCTTTCTTTTACATACCAGGGTCCCTTTTTAAGAGATTTCATAGGCTAAGAAGGAGCTAAGCTAGGTGGAACATGTTATTGGAGAGCTTTGTGATCAACTTGCTCTATCAGCTCAGTGCACACAGCCAGCCTTTTGTGCTGAACCCTTCCTGTGTGGGGCTCTTTCATGCTGGATAACATGCTCCAGTTCCCAAACTGAAGGTAGCTGAGTGTCTGGTTGCCTGGGAGAGGCCTTGTATATGTTCATTTGCATGATGAGATTGTCCCAAAGGAACAGGATTCAAATTTACCTTCAGAACTTGGTAACAAAACTGATTTATTGGGAATGATTTCAACTTCCACTGTGAATAAAAGGATTGCATGCTGCTGTGTTGTGAACTCTTATTGCAGTCTGTTGTGGCACTTGTGCACTTAAAGTGCTTGAGTGCAAATCTCATCCCCAGTTGAGGGAGATGTTGGAAAGAAGGCAGTGCAATGTTTGTTTTCAGTCTGTGAATGACAATTTGTAAATAAACCTGGATCTGGAATAAGAAAATGAAAAGGATAAGGAATCCTATACCTTGATGTTTCAAATATATGGAAAAATTCTGACCTGTTCTGACTGTGATCTTATTCTGTATCGTTCTTGTATCTGAAATCTTCATCTTGCTGCTTGTGGAAGTAGTTTTCAGTTGCCTGATTAGTTTTATGATGGGTATATTAGTTATGTTTTGCTGGCACTTCATGTTCTCCTTTCTTATTTTATCATAGTGTGGGATTCCCCTAGTTCAGGATTTCAGTAGATGGCTCACATTAACTATCTGCAGGAGTGTCTGTATAATAAAATACTTGTGGTTACTTGTGTTAACTGCACTGGGCTCTTTAACCTGCACCCTGAAAGTAATTATGTACATTTGGTAGCAAGCTGCTTGCCAGGTAAATACTGGTTCTCTTAGAAAAAGGAATAAGCAGGATATACAGAGTTTGAAAGGCTTGGCATGTTGGAGACCTTTAGCATTATTTAAAGCCCCAAACACTCCATTCAGCCAGGTACTCGACAAACAGAGCAAAAATCCTCCTGCTCTCCAGAATAGGGGGAAAGTGCACACAGGAAATGCCTGAGGGCAGGTGGAGGTGCTCCCGCGTTGGAGGCTCGTGTGTGCCTGTGACAGAGCTGTGTGAGCCGGGCACCTGCAGCTGTGCCA